AGAGACTATTTGTCACGTCGTATCTGTTAATTAATCTTTCGCGGCGTTGAAGAATGTAGAGTTTTAGATTAATTACCGAGGAAAAGGACTAATCGGATCACGTTTGATACATTTCTCTTTTCCTTTTCTTTTTCTTTTTTTTTTCTTTCCTCTTTCTACTCCGAAAACACAGAAGAGGATCGTTCGTTTCGCGGAACTTGTACGATTCAATGAAGACGTTTGCACTTGTTCAAACTTTTTATGCATTTGTATCTATATTTATGCGTCCATTAAACATCGAACAAACATTGAAAGAAAATTCGTGATTACATTACCTTCAGATTACATGAGTCACAATAATATTATCGCATTGTTGCTCACTTCATGTGATCGCTGCCATTGAACGTTTTTTCCACAGGTATCAAAGGTATGGATCAACATCGCGAATTGAACGAACAGTGTGTGACTGCATCTGAACCACGACACGTGTGCCTTGCTTGTGGAAAAAGATACAAATGGCCGGATAGCTTGAGGAGGCATCAAAGAGTGTACTGTAACAAATTGAACGAACAATGTGTGACTGCATCTAGACCACGACACGTGTGCCTTGCTTGTGGAAAAAGATACAAATGGTCGGATAGCTTGAGGAGGCATCAAAGAGTGTACTGTAGCAATAAGGAGAAATAAAATTCCCTTGCCATTTACGTGACGATAAGTTCAAGTCCCGATACGAACTGCGAAATCACATTAATGCTTAATCATCGTCTATGAATCTGCAACGTGCTAAGTTTCTGTTCTTTTGTATTTTCGCGTCTTTTCTATTTTGAGTGATTTGGCTGCCAGTCGGACGTTGTATAGACATTTTATATTTTTAATAATACTTCTGTTTCATATCTTCCACGTTACATGGAAGTTAGAACACAATTACACAATTATATATGTAACAATAATAATTTTCAAGTATCAGAACATTGTATGTACTATTTATTGTACTTTCAATTAATATCATTATGTAATTTTCTCAGCTCTTTATAAAAATTCATTGTATAGTTATATTGGATAAAGTTCATCGAATCATTCTTAATCGGACTTTAATAAATTAATAAACGCTAAGTAGTACTTGTAAATTCAAAAATGGGTCCGTTTGCACAAAGAGATTAAACGCGCGTATATTTGACGTTTTTTTTTTTTTT